GTCTGTCAGAAAGTCCATGATCCAGTTGCAGATGTTGTGGAAGAGACCCAGGTCCCCCAGCTTGCTCACCAATCTGCTTTTGATGATGGTATTGAAAACTGAGCTGAAGTGCAGGAAGAGCAGCCTGGCATAGCTCCCTTGCTGTTCCACATGTAACAGCATGGTATGCAGAGCGGTGGCGATGGCATTCTCCATAGACGAGTTGGCTCTATAGGCAAACTGGTGGGGGTCGAGTGTGAGTGGCAGGCATGAAGTGATGTGACTCCGAACCAGTTTCTTAAAGCACTTGATAATGGTGGGGGTTAGTGCCACTGGCCGGTAGTCGTTGAGACTGCTGATATTGTTCTTTTTTGGCAGAGGGACGATGGTGGAGGACTTTAAGCAGGGTGGGATGGAGCACTGGGTGAGGGACTGATTAAAGATGCTGGTAAAAATCCCAGTTCGCTGGTCAGCGCAGTCCCTCAGCACCTTCTCTGTCACACCGCCAGGTCCTGCAGCATTCCGGGGGTTCACTGCCCTCAGGATTCTGCTCACTTCCTGTACCTGCTCAGTGAAGGTCTGGCTCTGGAGGGATGTCAACTGCAGAGTGGGTCCCACTGGTGGTTAAGCTCCTCTGCCAGTGAGGCATCCCCGAGGATTGCAGTGGTGTTGCTGGATCTGAAATTGGTGATGTGCTGGACCCCTTGCCACATCTGCTGGCTGTTGGCCTGTATGTGTGCATGCATGTGGTTTTTTTTGTCTGTTAACAGTCTAGAGGAAGTATCACCAAATGCGGACCTCTCTCCGGATCCGAGACCGATCTCGGATAAATTTACAAGAATAGATTTTCCTGGAGCATTTATTCCAATGCTATAGACAGCAGGCACTGCTACTCCAGTTAATATGGCAATCGCTCCACTCAGTCGAGCCAATCAAATTGATTGGTAACCCTGCACGGCCAGCGTGCCGCCACAGCTTGCTGCCGCTGCCACTTTGCGCTTGCTTATACAGCAGAGCAGAGAGGAAGAGACAGTGATGACAGCATGGCTTGCTCCAAAAGAAGGAAGGTTGATGAGGAAAACCGCTGCTTTGAAATTGAGTGGACGGAGAAATGTCTGTTCATTCTTCCATCAGGCAGTTCACAACCAGTGTGCCTCATACACTCAGAAAACGTGGCATTAATTAAAAGTGGCAACGTGAAGCACCACTATGAAACAAAGCACAGCTCTTTTGAGCAAAGTTATCCCCTGAAGTCCGAGCTTAGGGCATGCAAAATAACCGAGCTGCAAGCCCTGTATGACAGATCTATCCGACTCATCATGCACATTTACAGCCCAGCAACGTGCAAACAAAGTCTTTTATTTGTTTTCTGAGGATGTTGACTTTTTTACTTGAAGTGGAGGCCTTCAGTTCTTTAGGCTGGGATGTCTTTAATTTAGGAGATAAAAGGGTTATTCAGCTCTGTTTGCACTTTTTAAATGTACTTTATTCTGAGGGTTTTTTTCTCTAATCTGAAATAAAGGCCTCAAATTTTTTTGCCTGGGACTACTTATATATATGTGGTAAAAGAGCTAACTTTGCACTTAGTTGAACATATCCTGCACTGAAAATTGACAATGAGTATTGTCGAAACCATGAAAATGTGGTTATAGGGGAAGGCTATTAGACACAAACTGGACTTCGGTTCGGAACTTTTACTTGAGGTAAATTTTAATAACTGGACCTCAGTGACTTTTAATTGAATACGCCTGGTCTAGAGTTTTACAGGAGAGGAGTTTGAACCTGATACTTCAGCTATGACCTTGGTATGGTCCCTTCTCGAAGTGATTAGATTTTGAGATTAATGCATATATTGGAGACCGCTACAGAGGTCAAAGGTCGCATTTCCCCAAAACAGCTCTGTGTGACTGAAAATGCACAAAAAGACACAAGTTTAGTATACTACCTTAGGAAGACATTCAAGGCCTTACTGAGGGCTCTCTGGTATTTCTTATTAGATTTTTTCCTCAAACTGTGGAACTTCTTGGGTTTGTTATTTAAAACACACAGCCTTTAATATAGAAAGGCCGAATGTTGTTTTTAAAATGGAGTTTTTGGCCCAAGTTTCTCATCTTTCTTTTTACACCTTCCTTTCTCTCCTTCTCTCTCCAGCAGGGTTCCTCCAGATTTGGATCAGAAGGTTTTCATGTCTACAGAGTTTTCCAGGTGAGACAGTTCTCAATTTAATAAAGATGCAGTCCAATAGTTCCAATTGGAGCAATAGTTCCAGTGTGACAAGGGTTTTTTTTTTTCTTCCAAGACCGAAGCCTTTTATTTGGGTTTTTGGTGGAGTATTCCTTTAAGTGTATATGTTCTGATAATTTAAACCTTACTCCTCACTATCATTTGCAGTTGCAGACATGTCACATTCATACACAACAGGTGTAAGAAATTAATGCTAATCAAAAACAAATGATCTTCCCTCTTGTCCTTGTTACCCTTTTTATTTTATTCCCTCACCTCTTTTCATCCTCTCCCCCCTCTTTGTCGTCATTTTCTAGGTGTCTTTCTCTGGAATGTCCTGTCAAGGTGGCCTGAAGGGGTACAACCCCGAAACACAGACTACCAGCACTAGCACTCCCACTGCTGAGAGACGGCAGAGACATCTACAGATGGGCACATCCTTATGTAGAGACCTCTGTACAGCTTGAGAAAGAGAACCAACCAAGCAGCAGAGGCTGAACTTTGGACCTGATAGCGAGCCCAACTGGTCCTGAGAAAGAAATTACTTGTGTTGGTGTTAAATGTTATTGAACCAACGTCCATTTCTTATTTTACAATCTCCTGATAATTGGCTTTCTGTCCATTAAATAATCATCTATCCTTCCCTTCCTCCCATCTTTCTTTCAATTAGCTGAAAGTGTTTTTGCACTGAAGAGCTAGAAGTAGACAGTAGGTAATGGATTATGCCGGCCATGGTGACCTAGTGTAAATGGCTATTCTTCAGCACAGCTCAGTGCCAGTATCAGCTGCTCAATCTTCCTCCTCCACTCCCCTCTCCTCTCACCCTAACTCCACCTCTCTGCTCTCCTGCCCTGTTCATTGGTGCTGCTTGCTGACCAGTCCTGCCTCTACCCTCCAACACCATGGTGGGTGCAGGCTTAGGTGTTTGGAAGCTAATGCGAGGTATCCGCCAGCTGGAGCTTCACCGCCTCATACTGGCACTTATCATCTTCTGTTTGCTGTCCATGGCCTTCCTAGCTTACTACGTCTCCAACAGCCCCAAAATCAAGGAGGCCCCTCCTTTACCCTTCAGTGACTGTGGTGGAGGGGGAGGAGTGTCACCAGGAATGAGTACTGGGGCTGCTGGTAAAGGGCCAGGTGGCCAGAGGGCACCTCTTTTCCTTCCCCCACGACAGGGACGACTGAGACACGTGAAGGCCATGGACAATTCCAGAACAGAGCCTGTGATTCTAGTGTTTGTAGAGAGTATCTACTCTCAGCTGGGCCAGGAGATTGTAGCCATATTAGAGTCAAGTCGCTTCCACTACCGGACAGAGATCGCTCCTGGTAAAGGTGATATGCCCACACTGACAGAGCGTAACCGTGGACGCTACACATTAATCATTTATGAAAATGTGTTAAAATATGTCAATTTGGATGCATGGAACCGTGACTTACTGGACAAGTACTGTGCTGAGTATGGAGTGGGCGTCATTGGCTTCTTCAAAGCTAATGAAAACTCTCTGCTCAGCGCACAACTCAAAGGATTCCCCCTCTTTCTACACTCACACCTGGGACTCAGGGACTATCGCATCAACCCCAATGCTCCTCTACTCTACATCACCAAGCCCAACCAAGTGGAGCAGGGCTCTTTACCAGGGGATGATTGGACAATTTTCCAATCTAACCACTCTACCTATGAACCAGTGCTTCTGGCCAGCACAAAGTCCTCTGAGGTACTGGTACATTTTGGACCCAGCCCTCTACGGGCACTTCATTCCACAGTGGTCCAGGACTTGGGACTTCATGATGGCATTCAAAGAGTTCTCTTTGGAAATAATCTCAACTATTGGCTTCACAAACTGGTGTTTGTAGATGCCATCGCCTACCTGACAGGAAAGAGATTGTGTTTGTCCTTAGACCGTCATATTCTGGTGGACGTGGATGATATATTTGTTGGCAAAGAGGGAACCCGCATGAAGGTGTCTGATGTGGAGGTAGGTGAGCTTTGTCAGCCGTAGTTACACAAGAGACCACAAATGATCAGAGGTAAACTTAAGTGTCCTTGTTTTTTTGTTTTTTTTTTACTTTATAGTTCCAGCTTATTGTTCAGCTGTCTAATCCACAACTCTGCTCATTGCAATGTCTTTGTTTGCAACAAGCACTTATGTTTGCTGCAAAATCTATAAAAGCCACTGTACACTGTTGACGTGCTACGCAGCCGGCAGCAGACAGACACAGAGATAGTTAAGTTGTTTTTTGGCCTCTGGTCCGAGTCATTTAATATTCAGTGTCTGAATCCCAAGTCCCAATTCTATACCATGTTCTTAGATAGTTAAAGTTAAAATCCGTCCAGTGCATATGCTTGACAACTGAATAGCTCTGCTATTAAGAAAAAACTGCATTTTTGCATTTAAACTGTTCCTTAATGTTACATTGCCTATAAAAGTAATTCTCCTTTGTAAGGTTTTAACTTGTATTGCTTTTCCACACTGAATCATGGTCAGTTTAATTTGGCTTTTTTAACAGCATATCAAATAGACTCTTTCATGTCAATATGAAAACTGATTTTTGCAAAGTAATGTCAATTGATTAGCTATTATAAATATAAAATGTTAAAGTGATTGCCAAAGTGTTCCCCTTTAAAGTGACTCACCTAATTCAACATAGGTGCAGTTAATTGGTGCTAGAGGTCACACAATTAGTAAAATGGACAATGTATGAAAAGTAGTATCAAGAGTGTGGCATACACTGTGGTTCCAAAAGACAGCAAAAACCTTATTTTCTACATGCATTTCAGAACCTATGGTCAGAACCTGTATTGCAGATTCGCTGTAGTACCTGGATTCATACGTCTTACAGTTTAACACTGTATCCACCCAAGTAGGCGGTCCCAAAAACTACAGGCACTTCTGTGGTGGCACGCAGTAATTGTGGGAGTTTAATTAGCAACAGGCACCATGACAGAGACTTCTGTGACACTTAATGTCCCCCGGCAAGAGCAGGTGTATTTATTTTACTGGGTCCCAACACAAACTGTATGGCAGCAGATAAACATCAAGGAATTGGTCTAAATTGATGCTGATACTGATTACTTGTAGCTTTGAATTTGTTGAGTTTCTCTGTTCACCATTTATGTCTTCACATTACTATGTGAAGTGCCATGAGATGCCATGTTGTAAATTGGTGCTACAAAAATTACGTTTGGTTAAATGATACAGTGCCATGATCTACCATGATCCCAACCCGTAAAATTGTTTTGTTACATCCCTAATAATCACCTGCAGGAGCTGGTATAGACCAAAAACTGAGCTCCATACTGATCTCCAAAATGATTATATAATACAGAGCAATTAAAACATGTTCTTCTGTAAAATAACAGGTTGTCACCACCTAAATACATACATATATATATATATATATATATATATATATATATATATATATATGTTTATTTATTTCCATTCAGCATTGTAAAGTGTTTTATTGTAAAATATTTTGAAGATGTCAAGCATTGCCACGTGTGACTGTTTCCTAGTTGGATCAGAGCAGCAAAGGTCAATCCTTTTCTTAAATACATATGAAATAAAACTGTAATGTTGGTACTTAATAATTGTGAACTTGAGGTGGAGCACACTGTTTTATTATACAAACCCACAATGTTTCAACATTACTGTGTCTTTATCAGAGTCAATGGTGTGTTTGTCGTCTTTTTACAGGCATTGCTCAACACTCAAAACAAGTTGAGAGCACTGGTCCCTAATTTCACATTCAACCTGGGATTTTCTGGAAAATTCTATCACACAGGTATGAAGCAGCTGATATAAGGGCATCAGCACAGTTTGTTGGTTGAACTATTCTTTTATGCTACAGCTTTAGAGGTTTGGATCTGTAGAGGGGAAAGTGTCAAAGCATAGACAACTGTTGTGTCATCATCTCTGCTTTAATCATTAACACTCCAGTCTGTCATGGGAGGCTGAAAAACTAGGATTGTAAGAGTACTATGTTTTTTTTTGTTTGTGTCAGTCAGGCAGTCAGTGGAAGGCCTTGTTCATACACAGTTCTAAATGTTCCCATACAGTCAGGGGTTGGGAGCCTTGCTCAGTGGCAAGCCTCTTAACTAATTCCCTCTGTTTGTATGTGCATGCATACTTGTTTTCAGGCACTGATGAAGAGGATCAGGGAGATGACATGCTGCTGCAACACAGGATGGACTTCTGGTGGTTTCCTCACATGTGGAGCCATATGCAGCCTCACCTCTTTCACAATGTCAGTGTACTGGCTGAGCAGATGAGGCTCAACAAGATCTTTGCTCAGGTTTGCAGTATTGTTACACTACATAATGCTTTAAAGAGTAATTGTTTGTAGAGACAGCGCTGACAAAATGAAAGTCTTTGTGTTTTTCTGCAGTATGCACGTACATACCAGTGGTATAATCTGTGAGACCCTCTCACTTTATGGAAGCTTGTTGTATTGTAGATTTACTTTTAAATGGATAAAATTGCCATCTTCTGACAGCTTTCAATTAATCACCCATTCTAAGAAAGTTACAAAAAAAAATTTTTTTGTTTTTTTTTGTTTTTTTTAAATCTAATTATTATAAATCAATACCCTTTGCTGTTACCTGACCATCTTCAATTTGACAGATTTTTTTTGAAGTGTTGAATATTAATTAAGTTGACCATGTGTAAATTCTAGGCTCACATCAGGGTAACGTTAAAGAGCCATGTCCGTTTTTGGTCAAAAATGTCAATGGTTCCATCTACTACAATATCCATCCATCCATTATCTATACACCGCTTAATCCTCACTAGGGTCGCGGGGGGGCTGGAGCCTATCCCAGCCGACTTAGGGCGAAGGCAGGGGACACCCTGGACAGGTCTCTACCACAATTTTCAAATGCAAAAAAACATAATTTATGTTTCTGACTGGCACCATACATTTTTAAAGCTCTTGTTGGTGCCATCCATTATATATATATATATACACCGCTTAATCCTCACTAGGGTCGCGGGAGGCTGGGAGTCTATCCCAGCGGACTCAGGGTGAAGGCAGGTTCACCTGGACAGGTAACCAGTCTATCGCAGGGCCGCACTTAGAGACAGACAACCAAGCACACTCACATTCACACCTACGAACAATTTAGAATCACCACTTAATGTCAAAATGTTTTTGGACCTTGTGGGAGGAAGCCGGAGAACCCGGAGAGAACCCACGCTGCACCTGGAGAACATGCAAACTCCATGCAGAAAAATCCCAGACGTCCTCACCGGGATGCGAACCGGCAACCTTCTTGCTGTGAGGCAATGGTGCTAGCCACCTAGCCACCTTGCAGCCCGATTTGTTACATGTAAAGTAAAATATTTCCAGCCTTTTTTGTTTTAATTTGAATCATTGTCATATAGCTCATGAAAATCAGAAATCTTGTTTCTCAAAATTTTAGAACACTTAATTAAATCAATCAAAAAAAGGATTTACAAAATGGAAGTGTTCAACTTCTGACAAGTACATTTACATCAGTTAGGGCTCCTTTACGATGGACTACTGCATCAGCATGATATGAAGGTCATCAGCCTGATCTCCTGAGGTGTTACTGAAGCCCTGCTCGCCTTGATAGCAGCCTTCAGCTCCACTGTATTTTGGTGTCAGCTGCCCAATCAACTGCAGTAACATCATGGTCAGCTAACCATGGCACCCTAAATTATCATACTTTTCCTGCCACACGTTCCCCTTCCAATCAGTTTTTCATTGTCATACTTTAATATAGCAGCCTTTTCAGCAGTGACCTTCTGTGGTCCGTCCTCCTTGTGGAGGGAGTCAGTGATCTTCTTCTGGACAACTTCCAACTCAGCAGACTTTTCAGTGATTGTAGTTCCATATACTGAAGTAGACAGAGGTACCCTGCATTTATACTATATAAAATTATTTTACTCAAACTGAAAGTCAAATGTTCTATTTATTTGAGATACTGAATACCCAATTTTCATGAACTATAACCCATAATTATCACAATGAAAACAAAAAGGCCACATTCATGGCCACCTTAGAATCCACACTGGGGGCCACGTACACAGCTGAGATGACAACAACAGTAAATTCCCTGGGTAGGTAGAATGGTCTGCAGGTCAAAAGCTCGATATCTGGAGTGCAATGACTTGATACAATCTTGGCATTTTTGCACCACTTGTTGATGTAAATACAGAGTCCACCACCTCGAGATTTACCACTGAGTGCGCTGCTCCTGTCAGCTTCTATTTAAGATTATATTTCTCTACAGAGGCAAATAAGACACTTAAGTAGATTTTCTGAGAATGCAGATGACATTTTCCCAGAGTTGGAGGTGCTTTTATACGTGCTGATCTGCTCTCTGGAACTGAGTGCATAAGTTACCATTGTGATGTACCCTGGTAAGAAGTAACATCCATCATAGTACCAAAAAATCCACAAGTAAACCTAATGTTACTATGATAATCCCAAATCCTGCTTCATAGTACAGGCCTCTGGTGTGCAAAGCTTGCCTCCTTGCTCTTTTCCTCCTGACCACAGCTTTCTCTTTCTTCTTGCTTGTCTCCCTGCTGCCTCTTCATGTGTCCATATTCTGACCTCTCTCCACACTTTCTTCTTTCCAGGAGCATGGCATCCCAACAGATATGGGCTATGCAGTAGCTCCGCACCACTCTGGGGTTTACCCAGTTCACACCCAACTCTATGATGCTTGGAAGTCTGTGTGGGGAATCAAGGTGACCAGCACTGAGGAATACCCCCATCTGAGGCCAGCTCGATACCGCCGTGGCTTTATCCACAATGGGATCCAGGTCAGTCATCTGTCCTTGATCAGTACTTAGCATCAGCAGTATATCACATATGCATCAGTATTACATCTAAAATAATAGTACTTCCAGCTAAAAACAGAGACTTGCACATTCAGAACCATGGTGCATAGTCACTGGGGCACAGTGTATTACAGAGCTAGAAAAGTCCTTTTTGTAGAAGGAAAGAAACTGGTCTTGCAACATGATATTTTATGAGACAAAGACATTTTAGTGAGCAGGGACAGTTATGATTTTTACCTTTTGTTGCACTGTGGGGATAAACCGCAAGTACAATGTGCAACAGTGCAGGCATTTCTAGCTGATAGTCAGTTAGAGGGTCATGAATATAACATTTAGATTCTCTACTTAAACCCAAACAAACACCACTTAATGAAGGATTTTCTTGTGTGTTTCAGGTGTTGCCCAGGCAGACGTGTGGTCTGTTTACCCATACAATTTTCTATAATGAATACCCAGGAGGTTCAAAGGAACTAGACAAGAGCATCAGAGGAGGAGAACTCTTCCTCACTGTCCTCCTCAACCCTGTAAGAAAACCAATTTTATGCACACAAAATAAAGACATGTAGAACAACTTGGATTTACTCAGCTTGAGACATGAATGCAATAAGCTGAGGAGACTTGACCTGGTGGCATATTCATTTTAAAATGCAAAACTGTGTGTAGCTGTGCATTTTGAAGCTCTGATTTAGTCATGAATAATTGTTATTATAACCAGGACACATGCAACATTTCATTTTAATAGGAATTTTCCTAAACGCATAAACCAGTAGCTATAGTTTGTCTTGTTTAGGAAATGTGGCCTACTTTCCCTCCCTGCAACCATCAAAATGAACCTGATACACAAATCTCTTTTTTGTATGGTATTTCTTGCTTTTTTTGTTACAGAACTCCTCTGTTTCATCACATATTTAAGATTGTTTGTATGTATTGTGTAAGATACAGCAGCTACTTTCAAACTGAGCTGTAGTATTATGTTAGTGAATATTCCTGAGGTGTGCCGAGCACAGTGGGTTCTGGTGAAACTTTTCACTGTGTCTGGGCTCCATCAATAGAAAACAGATACAAGTCAAAGCACTTCCAAAGCCTGCCACTGACCACTTCAATTACAACTCAGTTAATGATGAATTTTAAAGGTGTGAATGGCAGAGACTCTCCTCGTACATTCTATTCTCACACCAAATAAGCCACTTGTCTTCCTGGCACATGCCTGCAGGTGGGGAAAGCAAGAATTGTCCTTAAGCTACCTGTCATCTGTAACTAGCAGGTCATCCATCCTGTAAACACTGCACCTGTAACTTGTAATTAACTGAACAGTTGCACCCTTTTCTTTTTTAGTTCTCCTTGAACTATTTGACATACAGATATTAGACTAGAAATTTACAAATGCTTTAATCCATGACATGCAACTAAATGTAAAATGTCCTGTTTCCAGTTCTCGAAAGCATTGAATTGTATATTTTATAATATCCCGTCGTATTTGGAGTTTGTTTCGTATCTCTTTTGTATGTATTTTATAATGTAATGATGCACTGGTTTAGATCTGTCACTGTTTCTTTGTTATTCAGGTCAGATGCTGATCATTTCTCAGTTAAAACCAATCATATGTATCCTGCTATGACTATCTGAAAAGCAACGCTGCTGTCTGTTCAATTATAGTTGTTAGTAGGTCGATTTAACCACTGTTGATCAGCACCTCGCTAATTTTGACTCAGCTGCACTCCTGCTGGTTTGAGTTTATGAACTTGTTGTTCAACAAACAGCTCCAGATAAATTAAACTAAAAGTGCATTGTGTCTTTTCCATTCAGGTCAGCATCTTCATGACCCACCTGTCTAACTATGGCAACGACCGACTGGGTCTGTACACCTTTGAGTCTTTGGTGAAGTTTGTTCAGTGTTGGACGAACCTCAGGCTGCAGACATTGCCCCCCATCCAACTTGCTGAGAAATACTTCCAGATCTTCCCTGAGGAGAGAGATCCACTCTGGCAGGTGGGTATTTATTATTATTGTTGTTGTTGTTGTTGTTGTTGTTGTTGTCAATAATAATTGTATTTACAGATTTTTGCATAAAATGTGTTTTTCAGCAGAATGAAAGTTGTTGGTGTCAAAGTCCACTTTTTTCCCCAAACTTTACATCATAATCAGCAGTTTACTCATTGTAAATCAATTAAGCATTAAACATTATTACATGTAGGAGGACCACTGGAATTAAACCATGTTGTGGAATGAATGTAACACTTGATGTCATTAAAAGGAAAAGCAAACAACATTTTTTTTTCAGAATCCTTGTCATGACAAGAGACACAAAGATATTTGGTCTAAAGAAAAGACCTGTGACAGACTCCCCAAGTTCCTCATCATTGGACCACAAAAAACAGGTACTGCACTATACCTGTACCTTTGTCTTTGTCTTACTCTATATCTGTCTCTTCATTATTATATACGTTTTTACTCAAAGGCACCACAGCGCTTCACTCATTCCTGAGCCTCCACCCAGCAATCACCAGCTCCTTCCCAAGCCCCACCACCTTTGAGGAAATCCAGTTCTTCAGTGGAGCAAACTATGACAATGGGATTGACTGGTAAAGCCAGAACAAACACACGCTGTAGATGGTGGGGGGAGGGGGGCTGAACAGGTGCCTGCAATGGCTTAAGGGGAGACATAAATTCATAGAAAGGGTCACTGTGTAATCAGTGGTCTCTTCCTGCTTGGCTATAAGTTTTTTTTTTTGTTTTTTTTTTTTACTTTTTCAAACTGCAAGTGATGCCAAAGCTATTTCATTGTTCTATAGGACTTTGTAGAGTAGTAGAATTCTCATTATGACTAACACACTAAAGCCTTCTAAAACGATGGAGAAGTGATATTGATAAGCGTATTGACTTATGCATCCACACAGTAAACACGTTTTTGCCAGCTTTCTTTCCTGCTTTGGTTGCAGCAGCTGTGCTGCTTTTAGTCTGTGTTATCTTTTAAAACTCCTCATATTGGTGTAGCATTGTACTTTGTTCTCTTAGCGAGAAATATACACCTCTCGACCTGTCATGTTTGCATTTGGTCATCTGGTGCCAACACTACCCCTTTCTTGCTCATAGCAAGGTTCAAACAACATGGGTTGATAACCAGCTTCATGTTAGATGTAGCGAAGCCAGATAACAAAAAGATATCCTTGTATGTTGAACTTGATTTGTAGTACAAGTCTCATAAATAAACCTGCATGCAGCTGCCAGGGCAGAGATACCCACAGAAGACTACATGAACAACCGATTAACAAAAAAAGAAACATAAAACCAACTTAAAAGAACAGTTTTTAAGTCCTGATGAACCAAGTGCCAGACCTCAGTCAGGTCCAGTGTGTGTGGCAAACGGCTGTTGGTTCACAGAGCCTGGACAGCTTAGTAAAGAAACATGGGCTGTGATGCTGCCAAAGTATTCTCTGCCACACTGCTGCTCAGTGGAGAATACACACATATGCCTTTGCCCGTTTTTACAAAGTTTTAATTAGGATATCTGTTCTTTACTTTGACATCAAACAGTCTGTTGTCCAACTGAATTATGATTACTTAGATATGACACTAAGTTAAAATAAAAAAAAAAAGAAATGGTCCATGGATGTGAATGTTTTTTTATTTGATATATTTCTGTTCTTCTCAGGTATATGGACTTCTTCCCATTCCCTTCCAATGTCAGCACAGACTTCATGTTTGAAAAGAGTGCCAACTACTTTGACACAGAGGCAGCACCTAAAAGAGCTGCTGCCCTGCTACCCAGAGCCAAAATCCTAGCAGTGCTTATCAATCCATCTGATAGGGCTTACTCCTGGTACCAGGTGACAGCCATCACACTCTGCACACACATACACAACTGTGTACTGTCACACTGTACATGCTCCTTATAACAGTTTAAACCTTCTTTACTGTTTTGTGTGTGACAGCATCAGAGGGCCCACCAGGATCCTGCAGCCCTCAACAACACTTTCCATGCTGTGGTGACAGCAGGCCCCTCAGCCCCCAGGGATCTGCTGGCCCTTCAGAGACGTTGCCTTAATCCTGGCACTTATGCTGCTCACCTCGAACGCTGGCTGCAACACTACCAGCCTAGCCAGGTAACACACTCTACAGCTTCGAGCATGCACAACAACAAGTTGACATTCACATTGTGCAAAAGGCCGACTGTACTGTCACAGTCAGTAGCAGGTTTCATTACATTACATATCAAACTAGAAGAGATGAATGGAAGTGCTATAATTTTATTAATGCTTCATTTTACGACACCCACCTTTCAGAGATCTCCCAACACAGTTTCGATTTAGCAAGTCTAATTACACCATTTACCAGGTTAGGTGAAACTGAGAGTGCTCTGGCAACGACGCACACACACAGGACACGCGAGCAGGATGTAGCTCGGTGAAGTTGGTTTTAGGTTGGATTCTTGACCGGCCACTGTGAATCAAGCACCGCTGTCTTGTTGTGTTCCTCTCAGTGTTTGCAGTAAGAGGACGGTGAGCTCAGTGCCAAGCCCTTGGCCCCAGCCACAGTAGTTACACCGAACTTTCATGTCATGTGATCCAGTGATTTCAAATCCAAACCAGATATTATTATTACACTGTACAAATAAAACACTCCCTTTGTTATTGTATTTTAGGACAAGTACAAAATAATGTACTTTGCAATTATATATGTGCGTGTGTGTGTGTGTGTGTGTGAGAGAGTGTTCATATTCTCATGCTCGTTCCTCCTTGAAAGCATTGATTTCTAGACCACTCGATGGGAAGAAAATAAAGAATTGACTGCCCACATGTCGGCCGTGCCTAATTTCTACTTAGGAAAATGACGTCAGACCTCCAGCAACATCATGTAACTCTACTGACCAATAAAACAAATAGACAGAGTACACCTGAGTGAAATACCACAAGCTGTCACCCAGTGGATACGGCAACATTATCCAAACAGAAGTCCAACATACACAGCAAACATATTTGCATCAGGGACAACATCCTTCACAACAACAACCTTGTGAGCAATGTAATAAACATGGAGCAACAACTTCTTTGAGTTATGTTTATATTGGCACCTTTTTTTTTAATGACTATCCCTCTAGTAATGTAGAATCATTACCCAGCAAACATTCAGTTGGCACCTCTATGTGTTTAACCATACGGGCTTATTGATGGCATCGTTTCTGAAGAGCTGAATTCAGTATTCTGTATGTTATTGTCATTATATATCCATTAGTAGTGCATGAGGAGGACTAGCTCGGTCCTAAGAGCTCAAAATATACAATTCACTTTTTAGTTGCATGGCAGCAGTTATAGTTCCTTAAAATATCAACCACCACTGTTGATGTGAGTCACGGATGACACTGACTCTTTCTCTGCATGTGTTCAGCTGCACATTGTGGACGGAGCCCTGCTACGCTCTAACCCGGCACTGGCGATGGAGGGAATCCAGAGATTCCTTGGTGTCACACCCATCTTCAACTACACCCAGGCTCTAATGTTTGTAGCACACTCACATGGGCACATACAACCATACACGTACACACCATTCATCTAGAAAAAACAATGTCATTAAAGGGACAGTTAAATGTTTAGCCTGAAATCACAAAAACAGCATGAAACCAAGCAGTGTTTCCATATAACGCATGTGGAAGGTGTTGGCAGAATTGTAAAATAACATACAATGTGTTTGCAGGTATGATGACAGCAAAGGCTTCTGGTGTCAGCGAGTGGAGGGAGGCCGAGCCAAATGTCTGGGGAAGAGTAAAGGCAGGAGGTACCCAGACATGAGCTCTGAGGTATGGCTACACCTTACACTGTCACTGCCTTCCCTCATTGTCTGGCGTGGTTTATTAAAACTTGTGTCATATTTTGAAAATGTTTCCACCATCAGTTCTATCAGTAGTATTTAACAAATTACACACCAAGTTACAAAGTGAGATTTGAGAGTATAGTGACATCACCAAAAACAGCTTAAATGGACAAGAACCAAGTGATGTAATGATTGAAGGCCATGGTCATCATGCAGGTCTTGGAGAACCTAATCCAAGTTCAGATTAAGCATTGCTCCAGACTAAGAGGCTGCACAGGTGTACCAGCATATAACTGATGTACACAAAATGTATCACCACACCTTTTTTAGTAACCAGTGGCTTTCTGCATTTTGTTGTTGAATATAATGCTGTGACACACTGTGAGCTGTTGGAGGGAATCTCCATTTATGCTGACAAAAACAAATGATAGAAGAGAAGAAAAGTCACCGTGTAATAAACTCCCTGCTCCAGCGCCTATACCACAAGAGAATAACTCAAAAGAGCTGAAAGTGTGAGTGGAAAAACAGTGAGGAGCAGCATGAGCCAGCAGTGGGCTTACTCCTGACTGATCAGCAGAGCATTCATAGCTTCTGGGAGTACTGGCACACTCCTCCCTCATTAAATAGTCAGCTGACCCCAGCACCCCCAACATGCGACCTGACACCTTCCATGGATGTGCCCAGACATGATACTGTTTACTACTGCCACATCAGATGAGCTGGTGTAACACTGTGTGACAACAGAAAACAGCCAGAGCACTGCAAATGCTGGTTGTGCCGAGTTAAAGGTTTGTGTGTGCAGCATCCACATTTTAGAATGTGCCATTTCTTTGCAGCAGCATCCATATGTGAAGCATCATATACTATCATGATGAGAACTCTGTTCTCTCACAATTAGCTTTGTTGGCCAAGCATGCAAACACATACTGGGTTGTTGACTCCTAACTAGTTGACGGGACAGCAGCATGAGGTTATACAGTAGAACCTCTACATAGGAATTTAGTTCGTTCCTGAACTTACGTCGTATGTTAAAATGATCGTATGTTGGATCAAATATTCCCATAAGAATACACTGTAATCCATTGAATTCGTTCCACAGCCTAAAAATCCTACGATAATTCCTTAATAGATACTGTAGATAATTACACATAGCAATAAAACAAATGCATTATATGAGATAGATGCAAAAAGAAATACATTGTGAAGAAATAATCAGTGAAAAAGGGTTTTTATTGTCACTTTACCTTAGAGTAGAGGCGAACGGAGGTGTAGGCTTGGTGCTGCAGGAGGAGGAGGAGACGGTCGGTGAGGAGGTAGAGGTTGCGACTGAGATACACTATGACTATACGTACACTACGTGAACTTTAAAATAACTTAGCTTATTTTTATATATATATATATATGTGTGTGTGTGTATATATATATATATACACACATATATAGTATTTTTTTTCTGTTTTTCTGATTTTCTTTTTTTTTTGTATATATATATATTTATATATATATATATTTTTTTAACTTTTTCTTTTTAATTTACATCTTCAGCCTCTTCACTTTCACTTACTTGAGGCTTGCTTTTCTTTGCTACACTTTCACTTTCTCCCTCACTTTGCGCAGGAGATGCGAGAACTGATGGATGCTGCACACGGCAGCGCGCGCATAGAGATGCGTCGAATCTTTGACGCACGTCGTATGTTGGATATTAACGTCGGATGTTGGATCAAATTTTGGATCGAATTTCTCGTCGTATGTTGGAAAATTCGTATGTTTGAGCAATCGTATGTAGAGGTTCTACTGTACTTGTAGCTGAACTGTGAATTATGCAAAGCTGCTCTGGCTCACATCCACCCAGGGTTGAAGACGAGCGTATTTGGTCTTTAGGGAGGTGCCACAGAAGAGCACCAAATGCGCATCAATCCACTCCCGAAAAGAGTTCCCAGCAAATGCAGTATTTGCTCCTCTTCAGGGAAATGTGATTAAAACTACACTATCCACCTGTATTGGGAAATTACCAAAGTGCTTGAAAATTGAAATGTCTTGAGCTTTTTAAACAAAACTCATTTTCACTAGGACCAGTGGGTTTGGAGGGGAGAGGTTACAGATAGAGTCAGGATGTCAAAAAATATTGGAGGACTTGCATATATTTGGTATGAAGGGATTTGTTGACAAAAAATAACACCAGTCAGAAGCTACCAGAGAAGAAATACTGTCAGCAACACTTGGGAAATGCTGCCATTCAATGATAGATTTTTTTTAATTCATAGAGACAACAGATTGTCATGGCAGTTATTTATACTGTAGTTCTCCAGATCACTCACTTTTTCCAATCTTTTGTATGCTTGTGTGTGTTTGTGTGCGCACAGATGCGTACTTTTCTGGCAGAGTATTACCGTGAGCACAACATGGAGCTGCTGCGTTTGCTGAATCGGTTGGGCCAACCACTGCCGTCCTGGCTCCGCCAAGAACTTCAGAGTACCAGCTGGAGCTGAGGCCACTTGTCCACACACAGGCAAACACTACACAGAACAGCTGGACCGGAGTCTGTGATTGAGCCATTTAGCTCTGGATTAGACTGGACTACCTGATCTGGAATCAACAGCAGCGCACACTGAAAGAGCTACAAGGTTTTAGCTGATCTTACCAGTGCTCCTGTTCCATGGAAAAATGAAGACTGTGCAACATGAGATCTTTGTTAAAATGTTGGTCACTGTTTGAAAAAGATCAATGAATTCCCTCCTCCTGATCTGTTGCCAACCTCTCACAGGCACCGGGCAGCCTGCATGCTGTTGGTCAGTGTGTTGGATGAGGCTCACACTGAATACATTAGCTATGAATCTAGTGGACTGGGTGACTCGCAGGTTTGTGGCATTGAGGACAGGTCAGATAGCCTTAATATGAGGAGAGAAGTTCACAGGGTGAGACTCTGTGGATGTGGAGTGTAAGACTGGATACAGGACAAGCATGCACAAATACAGACACATGCACATCTCGACATTCTCTACAGGTTCGATTGTAAAGCAGTCCAGTTTTAAAACGGGTTGTATATGTGAGTTTGGGGGCAGGAGACGAGCAGAGGAGCCAGCATCCTACAGCAGGCAGCACAGACACGCATCCTCATCCAGTATTTACTGTTAGACATACATCAGCCTGCAGGACCAGCAAGCTATCGGGCTGCTGTGTTCCACTTTATCCTCAGTTTTCCCAGTCACAGTCCCAGTGACACATTTTAAAAATGGATTTAACTCATAATGACAGGTCAATGTGAATATCACGTGCTTAGATTTGGCACATGACTAAAACACAGGTGTGGTCCAAGCTGTGCACGCCACTTAAATCCTGTCAGTGAGCAGTTTTATTATTATACTTTGCTTATTTGCAAAGGTAACGATGGTTTTTGACTGATGACACACTGTTCTCCACTGTAGCTAAGGTCTCCTTGCATTCTCCAGCTTTGTTTTAAACTTGCAATGTCATCGCTTTTAGCCTATATGCCATTGAAAATATATATATATATATACACACACACACACACACACACACACACACACACACACACACCATCTATGTGAATCCAAATGGAGTAAACCACACAAAATACTGTTGAGTAATAGTTGTGCTGTAGACCAGGATTTTTATCTGTTTGAGTTAATACAAATGACATCGTATTGTTTTGAGAGAAGTTTTGGTACCTGGACGCAACATGAAAGTTAAGATTTTACTTGAGCTCTTTATAACATCGTGGGTGTAATCGGCTACATTGAGAATCCAGTGTCGAGGTAAAGCAGCATTGTTTTGTCGTCTGATTTAATGACTCTGGCTGGACACCACTGCCTTTCAACATGTAAGTAGTCATTGTGTATACCAAGCTGATGGGACAAGAGTAATGTTGGAACGTTTTTCAAGAGAATCACGTTTTGTAATGAGGACCATTAAATCAGATAAAAATGGTCCATTGAATCTTTTCTAAAGGGGTATTCTAGTGATTTAGTATTGCACTTCTGCAAAGTTGGAGGAGCCACCAGAGAGAGATTTTATAAAATTGAAGCAGCAGCCTTATTGCCTGGTAAATAGTCACAACTTTTTAAACTTTATGTCTCCAGTTTATAAATCAGGCTTTTTATTTTGTCTGAAAGCTCAGATTGACAGTTGACATTAGGAACAGTATTATTTTGGGGCTATAAAGTGTTTATTTATTTTTGTCATCATTCAAAAATACCATTTAAATAATGATAAATAGTTTGCACTGATCCTGACTGGATGTGGTCATGAGGCAGAGCCCTGGACCACAGCTATCAAACCTACTGCGGGGTTTTAGGGAGTTTTACTGTGAGAGGGCAAAAAGCACCTCAGCCAGGAGGAGTGTTCAGCCTCAGAAAAGAAAAAAACCTGTTTGTCAAGTATCTTCTGAAAGCCAACACACGTTACTCCCTCTCACACTCTTATTAACATCTGAGGATAAAACCCACAAATGTCACAGGACAAGAAAACAGACATCAGAGCCAAAACACAGACCAATCAGAAGCTGCTGTCTTGTTGTTTTCTGTTTGTTTTGTATAATTGTCAAAAGGCCAACACTGTATTATCGCTAATAAACACATAAAGAGGTTGGAATGATCTGGGTTTTTTTGTTTTCCTCGCTCACCCTCATGTCCATGTAGAAAGATTCAACTATAAAGCTTTGCAATTAAAAGCCAAAGCCTCAGTGCTGTCTACAGAAATAGTAATAATATCAAAGTGGCAATGAAAAAGTTTCCATTTCAGTGTCTTATTTATTGTTTTTCACCTGTGGCACCCTTAAGTGACCAAGTGCCTGGGTGAGAATATGTGGAAAAAACAATTTTTGTCAAGATAAGCCACAGTAGAATATGTGGGAGTCGGGATAGACAGCTTAATGTTGAGAGCATTACATCGGTAAATAACAGGGAAGCAACGTTTTATGCTCTACAGCAGAGGCTGAGTCCAGGACACACTACTACAAGCAGAACTGTCGCTGCTGCTGTTTCCCTTCTTAGTTCCAGCTGGTGAAGTGGCTCAGTCCCATTCTGAGCACTAAACCAGAAAGTAAGGAAATGAACACATTCTTGTCACAGCACACAGTGCTTTGAAACAAGGCTCTGCCATATTATTAAAGGCGAATATGAACTTGTTTTTTAGTCAAAGTTTGAGTAGCTGCTCAGCTTAGTGCTCCATGTTTTAGCTACTGTAGTGATCATCCATCTATAACCACAACAGTGAGCAGCCAGGTGCTGTCACTGAGCGATACATCTTGTAGATTTCTTCCTTGAACCCTCTATGCTTGGTCAGTGTACATTTGGTGTAACGGGAGAACAACCACATTTATATGTCAAACATGAAAAAGTCTCAAGACTGAAGATATTCAGCTCACTGAAGAGACACATAGTGTTGAAAAGTCTGCATCAGTGCCCTTGTGCACTTGATAATTTTACCATGGGAAAGTTCAAAGGCCAGTATTCAGCCTTGATTATATTAGAGTTTCCTTCTGAGGACGTGCAGACCAGTGACGTGCGGTCAGGGGAGGCAGGTGAGGCAGAGCCTCACCTGACATCACAGAAAGAAAAAATATGTAATGATAAAATAATTTAAATGGTTATATTTATCCAGTGATTTGTACTATAAAGTTGTTGTTTTTTGGTTTTTTTTCATTTAGTCTTGTCAATTTTGATGATTTTTAAAAATCACTGAATTTTCGAAATTTCCCATTCAAATGCTTGAAAGAAAACCGGTGAGGCAGCAGCAAACTGAGCCTCACCTTGGATTGCGCAATCCCTCACTGCGCTGGCTGCCATGCTGAGGCTGTCACTGCATGGCAGCCAGCGCAGTGAGGGATTGCGCAATCCAAGTGAGGCAGCAGTGAGGTGCTGCTGTCTGGATGTCGCCAATAACATGGTTCAAAAATATTTAATATATGAACTGATTTTCCATAGTTCAGCTGATGTATATAATAATTTAAAGTGTGTTTTGTTTTTGTTGTTTTTTTTTTACCAACTGTGTGTAACATGTTTCATGTCCTGAGCGATCATAAATGGTGAGAAGAGGTTCTAGGTGAGGCAGGCAGTTCTCTTGCCTCATGGCAGGGGGCGCTCTGATCCCAGACATGCTTCTTGTGACTCCGTGGCTGCAGAGTAAGTGACAGCAAGCTAGACTAGGTACGGTATACAGTTAGCAAGTCAAGTGCAGCGAAGGAAGATAAGGAGACTTTTACAAAAAAATAACAAATATTTTTGTCCAGAAGGAGAGGCGCATGGACTTCATTTAAAGGTAAAGGTAAGACCACAATAATTATGTGTAAAGAATGTAGATATGAAACATAACCCGTAAACTGCTGCTAATCAAATGGCAAATATGTGTGTGTAGACTGTGTAGAGTGCATATATTTGTAAATCAGATTCTGATGAAGTCAGAGCCTCACTAGCCATGAACCGCACCGCACGTCACTGGTGCAGACAGACCTTTGTGGATACCAGAGACATCATTTGTTATTATATTGCTAGCTGCTAGTTTGCATAAAAACTATCCCAACAGCTGTGATGGTGCTCAGGACTCAACTGAAGGACAAATGATTGACATGCAGCTTCTCAATCATGTTTCTTTTTAATTCTATGTTTATATCGTTTGCCAGTCAACACACTCAAGCAGCTGAACAGCCTGCTAGCTGATGCATTCTGCCAACTTCCTGGCGTCCAGTGCAGTCTCTCCAAAATCCACTGTAAAGGTTCAAATGTTTCAATGCACTTTAGGGAGTCTGTAAAAAAATGAAAGAAGCCCCACAAGTGCATTGGAGATCAAGGAGGTTCCACTAGGAATGAATGAAGTCTGTGAATGTGGGGATTGGGATTGGACCATGAAGTGTAACCCTCATGTGACAGCTAAATAGCTCCCCTTGTGGTAAGTGTGCCACCAGCTAAATTTTAATGGTTGCTTTTGTTAGATGGTAAGGGTCTTGTAAGTCAGGTCACTGAAGGGTTTTGCAAGTACATCAAAATGACAGTGTCTCCGTCTTCCCTTGCTGTGGGGCTGATTGGTTGGTGCATGATCAGCCTTCATTGCAGCAAAGCCTGAACACAGCAGAGCCTCTAAAACTCGATATTGTCTTTGGAATCAGAGCAACAGACAGCTCTCAGCATACAGCACTTAAGATCGAGTCATAATGAAAGAAACAAATAATGGATCGCTCCTCCAAAATAACTGCACACATGTACTACAAATACACCGAAATAAACTTTAATACGTCCAAGAGACATTATTTGCGAGCAAATTACATTGCACACAAACACACAGCTGCTCCAAGAAAATCTTAGCCTTAATCTGTGCACAGCTGTCCACCACCCCCACCCATCACTCTCTGACTCAGAGAGACGTTTAAAACACTTTTTATATCCCTAAGTACCACACAAATATAATCTTGGTGCAAGTGGGGTCATGAGTATTGTTTCAAAGATAATTTGGAGATAAATGTTTTCTAAATAATACAGCTGGACACTGAAAAAAGCGTGTATTCATTTTGTGTAAACTGCATAGTAAAACATTATAAACAATGTTGAATTAAGGCGGTGGGTAACATGGCATTGAGTTTAAGTGGTTGTATCTGAAAAGCCAGAAAAAGCTGTTATTTAAAAAATAGAACTTTCAGTGTTTGGCTTAAAATTAAATGGTGCTAGAAATCATGTCTAGGTTTTATTCTGGGCCACACTTTGTAGCCAGAAAACAATGCAGTTAATGTTAAAGGTTGTAAATTTGCACTTGAAGAGGACTATTTGTAGCACAGTAATCTCCATAGTCTTTATTTTTATATAGTTCACTTCACAAACATAAGATGTGGCCAGCTGCTGCTTCTGCAAAGCTCTGTGAACTTATTTGTGTACTGTGCAGAACCTGAAATGAAAATGTGTCTACCCGAGGTGTGGCTTGTGTTTAGAATCCACTTCATGTTTGTTTTTGAGGTTCATTTTTTTCCCTCTGAACACTACATGGGTTTTCCTCTAACACCACACCTGGACCACAATGTTAACACTGCACACTCAGTTTCTCACAGAGTAATAGAAAGATTGCCATGAAATCTGTGAGGCATATCCCTGTTCCTCAGCAACATTCTGATTCAAATGACTGCAAGGCTTCGTACTCTAGCACTAGCCTCAGCACAAACTACATTTTTACACCTAATAATGGGTGAGCTGTGGAATATTTGTCCATATGAACATTACTAAGATTAGGTAGACATGGTTTCTGTACCTGACTAGTGTGAATATTAAACAATATTTGGGCAGAAAAATGCTCATGTGGAATCAGTGACCAAAGTCAATTCTGGTTTTTCAACAGATTTTTTTGCACAGATTTTGATGTTAACATGCTTTTAACAGTGGATCCTGTCCAGCACGGTGAACGTGACTTTGTTGATGTTAATGCCTGCTCCGATAACAGAAACAGAGAATCCTGCCTACTCCAGTTGAACACATCAAGGCTGAAACTGTTGGATAAGAGGTGCAAATGGTGTGAGTGACTGACATTTAAGAAGCTCTGGAAACATGGTAATTCATGACCCAGACTCAAGAGAAAACATCCATCCATCCATCCATCCATTATCTATACACCGCTTTATCCTCACTAGGGTCACGGGGGGGCTGAAGCATATCCCAGGGGACACCCTGGACAGGTCGCCAGTCCATCAGACAACCAAGCACACTCACATTCACACCCACGGACAATCTAGAATCACCAATTAACCTCAACGTGTTTTTGGACTTGTGGGAGGAAGTCGGAGAACCCGGAGAGAACCCACGCTGCACGGGGAGAACTCCACACAGAAAGATCCCGGTGCTCCCACCGGGACGTGAACCAGCACCCTTCTTGCTGCGAGGCAACAGTGCTAACCAACTGCGCCACCTTGCAGCCCAAGAGAAAACATTTTAGTTGTAAATGTATACGTCTGGGCCGGTGGTGAGGTGTAGAAAAAAATACGCTCCTCTTTCTACAGCTAAATTTTCTGTGTGGGCTACTGTTCTGTGAGAGGCATCCTGGGAAAAGCGTGAGTGGCAGGTATCCTCTTGGTTGCCCAGTAGCTCCATCTCAGGCAGGTGTCCTCCATGAGGTACACTGAGGGAAGAGTCAGTTAAGGTATGCATTACATCGAAAAATGTCTGCAACAGCATTCCACTCACTCTCCAGCTCTTTCACCTACCTGTCTCATCTTTTTCTTTTAGAGGTGTCTCTCAGGCTCAGTTTGTTCTCTCTGATCTGAGCAGCTAACTGTGGTAATACTGGTACCTGACTGCCTCTCCTTTCTTGAGCAAGTGCATGCATGTTGGATTATTTAATTGTGTGGGCATGATGTTACATTAGTACCACAGTGTTTGTATTTATTGAAGAATCGGTGATGTGTATGTACAATGAAAGTCCTCTGTTAACCTTTATTTGAATTTTGAAGAACCTACATATGCTAGCTGGAGGTCTCCAACACCAGGGCATTCCAACACCTCCATGTTTCAGGTTTAATCCAATTTAATTCATTTATTTAGTTATATAGCACCACTTCACAACATACATCATCTTAAGACACTTCACCAGGTAAAGTGGAGACTGTTAGAGCCAAATTT